TGATGATGATGATGATGATGATGATGAAGGTGATGGTGATGGTGATGGTGATGGTGATGGTGATGGTGATGGTGATGGTGATGGTGATGGTGATGGTGATGATGGTGATGATGATGATGATGATCTCGCTCTCTCTCTCTCTCTCTCTCGCCGCAGAAGACGGTCTGCGCTGCGTCCGTCTAGGGCGATGCTCAGCACCGGCGTCTTTCGACATGAGTGAGCTTGCCGGCGCTCAGAAGTGCCACACGGTAGTGACCACTGCGAATGCTGTGTCCTAAATGGTAAATAATGCATTCTACCTGGTATCGGGTTGTGGTGGTATCAGAGGCGGGCCTCTAAAAGCCGGAATGTCTACGACCCAGGGTGGAGTCATGGTACCTTGCAGCTTGTGACCGGCGTCACTAAACCCGACCTGGAACTTCTCAGTCGCAAGTCCCGAGGGGGCCGAACCCGTGTTCAATCTCCTCCCACTTGCAGCACCACTTGCGCGGCAATTTCGCACAATGTGTCCTGGTTTCCCACACTTGTGGCAAATCACGGGGGATGTAGAAGACGATGCTCGGGGCTCCTTTTCCACGCTCGCCCTTCACCTTGGGTTGCCAGCAATTCTTCGCTATGTGGCCGGAGCGGCCGCAGTTGTAGCAAATGGTAGAATCCCTGGTGTTCACTGCTTCTTGTACTCTCGAAACCATGGTGGGGGAGTAAAGCTGGCAGGAGCGCGTTGAACCGCGCAGTGGCGGAAATTTGCCGCAGAAGTGCATGCTCACGGGAGCTTGTGAATCGCAGTTTGGGAAGTCAGGCTCCCCGAGCAGGCGCAGAATGACGGCAGCAGCATGATGATGATGACGACGAGGGTGTCCGGCCAAGAATTTCCACTCTTCCAGCTTTATGGCAGGGTTGAAGGTTCAAGAGTTTTGGGGGCATAACGGCAGGGGCCCTAAACCCCCAAACCCTGAACTCTAAAACTTAAGCCTCTCGGATGGGAAGGAGTTTAGGATTTTCAGGGACTCGAAACCCCAAACCTTCAACTCTAAAACTTAAATCTCTCAGATAGGAAGGAGTTTCGGATTTCATGAACAAAACCCAAACCCATAATTCTGAAACTTAAATCTCTCGGACAGGAAGGAGTTGAAGATTTTCGGGCTTGGGATTTCATGCAAAAGGTCTCGGGCTAAAGCCTTCGAAAGCCCAAAGGCTACTAATGCCAACAAGCCATGGTGGCAAGGCAGAAAGCCACCCTGAAACCCGTCCAAATCAGTCCCTCTTGAATAGGGTTCAGGGTTTAGGCTTTAGGGTTAAGGGATTTAGGGTTTTAGGGTTTTTGGGTTCAGGGTTTAGGGTTTAGGGTCTAGGGTTCAGGGTTTTGGCTCCCCCCGTATCAGAGAATTCTAGCTGTTCAAGCACCCTGCAGACCCCTATAGAAACCTACAGAACCGTAACCCTTTTTTTCGATCCCACACCCCCCACAACCCTGAATCCTAAAGTAGCCTTGCAGAGCCTTCCGAGGAGCCTTCAAAAGCCCTAAACCTGAAACCCTTGAAGGAACCCAGGGTTAAGGGTTTAGGGTTTAGGGTCTAGGGTCTAGGGGTTTAGGGTTCAGGGGTCTAGGGTTTAGGGTTTAGGGTTTAGGAGGTCAGGGTTTAGGGTTTAGCTCTAAACCCTTAAAGAAACCCTTAAACCCTGAACCCTAAACCCTGAAGAGTTCCTGCACGGTATCCCGACTTGGAGGATCATGGGACTTACTAGCTTGGGTTATAAATAAGGTAAGTATATAAGTAATTATAACCCCAATTGAGGTAGTTATAACCTTACTTAAAAAGTCCGATGACCTTGGGTTATAAGTCCCCTAATATGGGTTATAAGTATAGTTACCCTACTTAAAACCCAACTTATAACTACCTATAAACCTCCCAGTACCCCATATCCCCCACCCACGGTCTCTGATTTTTTCCGTATACCCTAAACCCTAAACCCTAAACCCTAAACCCCACCCACCTGAGCTCGACGACTTGGACTTGGGGCTCGGTGTTGGGCTGCCCCCGAGGCACCTGCGGGGAAGGGCTCGAGGCTTTAGGGGTTTAGGGTTTAGGGTTTAGGGTTTAGGGGTTTAAGGTTTAGGGTTTCGGTCTTGCTTGGAGGTTCATGGGTAG